TCAACTTGAGCTGGCAGCTTTGGCAAATTTGTGGGTTTTTGGGAAAATACTGCTTTCCTTGCTAAAGTGCTTCTATTTTTAAACCAGACACGAGTCCGCACTGAGTCAACTTCCTTAAACCCAGCCTTTGAAAAAAGCCAAAAAGGAGAACAATGTGCAGTCGCAGAAGAAACGCCGCTGGTTGAGTTAAACATCAAGTACCTTTCAAAATAAAATCACTACCTTTGTGTTCAGTGGGACCTTCTCAGATTGGGTTTTCTTTTGAAAAGAAAGATAAATGAAGATAAGAAAGATAAATACGCGTCTACTGAACTGGACAATAAAATCTGTAACATCCTTTAAAAACAATGTATGCCATGATTGTCATCCAGTGCCAGTCCCATTTGTGACCTCAGCACTCCTAACATTGCTGAATGACTGAGTCACAAAGCCCTCTGTTCAGACACCTGACTTTTCCTGTACCTGTCATCAGGCAGGCTAAGGTATTTCCGTAAGCTCCCAGACAGGGAAGTCTGTCCGAAATGATGCAATGCTTCCCTCAAGGAGAAACCAATCCTTAAATCCAATATTTCCACAGAGTGCATCAGTAATTAGCCACAGCCTCCAGTACAGAGCTTGTGGAAATTTTTGAGTTCAACTTTGGTTTGGCCCCCAGCAATGATTTTATCACCTGGCGAGATTAAAACAATATATATTTAGATGAGATTTTAACAGGTTAAATCAGGATGATAGATTCAATCTTGAGATTTACACTGGGGTCGATATGTGACCAAAAGCACAATTGGGGCTTTAACTGTTAGCATGCTATCAAAGTCTCATGGGAGCTGTGGTTTTTGAATGCTAACAACAGTCCATTACAGTAGATGCCCAGTTATCTTTGGGATATAAGAACATGGACTTTAAACCTTGGGAAAATGTTGCTGCTTTTCAAAATTAAAGAAACACTCTGTAAAAAATTTGGTGAGTTGGAGGGGATGGTGGATGGCGTGACACCTCGGTAGACAACTGCTCGAAACTAACAAACAACAAAACCAGTTGTAATTTAGCGAGTTATTGCTGCTTCCAGCTGCTTTTAAGCCACCAAACATGGGTGTTTTTCCAGTGGGGTTAGTGTCACCAAAAAAAGGTATCTTAAGCAAAATCATTATCTTTACCTCACCATAACAATTTTGTGTCTAAACCTAACCACAGTGCTACCCTATATACTAATGATCAAATGTAACTTATCAGTGGTTTAAAGAAACGTACAATGCCAACATTTTTTTCTGGTGATTCAAATGAAATAAACTACCTCTAGTGCCTTATATTTCTGTAGCCCTAAGCTAGCTATAATTTTCAAAAGCATGTTTTGGTGACTAGTCTAACAGACCGAGAGTCATCAGCTGTGAGAAACCACTCGCCGACACAGTGTGCAATAGTTGCCCGTGAAAAATTCAATCATTTTAAATTTTAAATTAGTTTTGTTTTTGGTTTAAATCTGCCATAAACGATCTATTCATACTTACAATATGAATATTCATCCAAAAAATTAGGTCGATAATTAAACGTAAAACAGTGGAACTGTCACGGAACACCATCTGTACTCATTCTTAGGTCGTCAAATGCCGATGCTCTGTCACACCCCTCGGTGTCTCATAGCAACACACATGCACCCTTTAGCGTATCTTTGTGACGCACAGCTGAAACACACTGTTACATGTGGTCAGTGCTGCGAAACTGTGCGGTTAGGTTTAGCCAACAAAACTACTTGGTTAGATTTAGAAAAAAAACCCCATCATGTTTCAGATTAAAACAAGTAGATTTCTTACATGACAATAACGTAAGGTGATGTAAAAACGTCTTTCAAATGAAGTCAGTGCGCGACTAAGCTGCTTGAATTAATATCACATTCACCCAGGACATTAACCATGAGTCTTGTTTTGTTTGACCCATCTCTCCTGCCATACGTGGAGTTTCTGACTCTCCATTTTACGTCAGTTGCTCTGTAAAGAATTGCTGCGGATGGGTTCACATTGCAGTGAGTTGAAACCTGGTGTGTCTCAAAAAGATTCTAAAGGGTGCCTTTGGTGTTCACAACACACAGAGGGGCGTGACCAAGCATCTGTATTAGACGACTTGGGGATGAGAACAGGCTGGGACACCCAAAATTACCAGTGCCTAAAAAGCAGCATTTTAGTTTTTAATCTTATTTGTATTAAAACCACATTTCCATCATTTGCCCTCTTTGCTAGTAAAGCAACTTTGGCTGCATTCTTGCTTCGCCCACTGAGGTTTAACTCAACCAGTGAAGCTCCTAAAAATCCAGTCTGCTGTGATTTTTGTGTTGCTGAACTCCACATTTAAGTATATGTAACTGTGACCATTTCCCAGTTGAAACATAATCAAACTGGACAGTACCACAGTGTATTAAAGGATCAGGTAAACTGGACACCAGACTCAAACTGAAGTGTTTTTAAGGCAGTGTGAGGCACACTGTGTTACAAGCCTCCATAACAACCTCCAACGTTAAGGTCAAATAAACCGACCGTGACTTTAATAAAGTATTCTCCATGTTAACTGACAAAGCATTAAAATAATTGCAACTTGTAGATAAATTGTTGGCATACCGTTGAAAGGACAAAACACCAGAGCAGCTCAGATCTACTGCATCAGCCCAGAAAACAACTGGTCTCATTATTCTTTAGATCGTCACCACTGGAGTCTTTGGCAGAAAGTCGTTTCATACTCAAAACACATCACAAAAAGGGACAAAATAAATAAATACCCATGGCTACTTTACGCCTGCTTCGAATGATATTTATGTGTTCATTTGAAAGGCAAACTCTTCAGCTAAAATTTATGTAAATGTTTGAAAAAATTACATCAGCAGAGGAGCCTGAAATTTACTGACTCAAAAGTACAAAAGCTTTGTTCTCTTTGTCTTCTCTAAAAACACTTGTGACATTTACGCTTTCCCAAGTGTGAAAACTTCAAAATACCAAGTCATGCCAATCAATCAGAAAATAGAAATGAAACCAAGTGTCGTCACGCTTTTTGTTTCAGATTAATTAGAAAAAGGAAATAAAAGTGCTTCAGAATTCCTCTTTTAAGACAGGAGGGATCCAGTTTCAGGCTCTTCATGAACGAATAATATTTGCTGCAGAGGAGAGGATGAAACAAACAGGACAAAGGTGATGTCATATTTCAGTACAACCACAACAGAGATTCAGTAGTTTTACTTCTGCAAAACTTTACACTGTTTGTTCATCGAGAGAAGTGGAATTTTAAGACTGTTGATAGAGAATCGGACACTGTGGATCTTGGGAAAGTAGCAACATTAGAGAAAAAAAAATCCACGTCTGCAAACTCAGAAATCTTCAGTGTGCCTCTGAAATTAAGTGTTATAATGGAATTGTTTTTGGTGAACCCACTTCACCTACACTCTGTGTTGTTTACCCAATGTCATTTCCCAGAATCCCATTTACCTGTGATTTATGTGTATTCAAGGGTGAGTTAAGTATTATTCAACCAGGACCTTATTTTCTCATGTTATGTGTCTAAGTGATTATTTGAGACAAACAATTTTAGGAATTGGTCCAGTATTGAGCGACAGTGCTACAACTGACAGGTCGCAACATCCATTTACATCCACTAAAAGTGTTTGTTTTTGCCACTGACAGGCTTAGATTGTTAAATAAGTGTTTGACAATATTCTGGAAAGGATCCCTACAGAGACGGACCTTTTTGTTAAAGAGTAAGACCCATTTTGTTCAACCAGAACCAGCACAAAGTCACCTTCGCCACCTCCAACAGACTGCATTTATATAATCAGTAATTTTAGCGTGTATGGAGCCAGCGTATTTTCACCTATAACTGGGTGAATTAAGGGTTTATTTCAACCAAACCAGAGTTGGTGGATGTTGAAACAGTGGAAAGACAAACCAATATGATTTATGTGCATTTTATTTTGTTTCTGTCAACTCTGAATGAAGTGTGTTTCACATGATAAAATTACTGATTATTTAAATGGAGTCTGGTGGAAATGGTAACGCCGATTTCAGGGGTGTTTCTGGTTAAAAAAAGATTTATCTGTAGGGAACCAGTCCATACAACACATTCTCACTCAAACCTCGGCAAATAGCGACATTTGGTCATGGACCTTCCACGTCCAGATACGACATGCAAGGTACCCTGGGTGTGTTGGTCGGTGACCGACAAGTTCTGCCTGTTACATGAATTGTCTTCTTCCAAAATAAACTTGCGTTTTCACAGGAAATTTACAGTTTATATACAGCCTCTTTCAAAATAAACAAACTACATTGGTACAACACCGCAAATTGACATTTTTATTTCCTCCAACATCTAATGCACGTGGTTAGGTGTAGGAAAAAAAGAACAAGGTTTGGCTTTATAATCTTGCGAGACGCGAACACCGCTCTCCCTGGTGAAAGTTGGTGTTTCTTGGACCCATCCACCAACTCTCCCACCCGCCCTACTCAGACTTTCGCCGCCTTCACTTTAGTTCTTGTCCAGCCGTGTTTCCCCGATGCCACTGAGCACTGTTAAACTATAACGTGAATCATGCCGATGTTGTCATTAGTGTCTAATGCCGCCCAAGCGTTGAATTTTGACGACTTTGGAGTGAGACCGGGTTGTTCTTTAAAGCTGTCTGACACTTGAAATAGCAATCTGAGCCTGTCAGTGGCAAAAACAAACACTTTTAGTGTATGTAAATTAACAGTGCACAAATGCCCCTATTGGTTACATTGCATCCTGTTTTGCTGCTTCCGACTGCAGCTCTCTCGCTCAATACATGACCAAATTAAAAAAACTGTTGTTCCCATTTGTCACGTAGACAAGCAAACATAGGAGAAAAGGGTCCAGGTCAAAAAAAACCGAACCAACCCTTTACGTGTGAAAAAAAAAGTAGTGATACTGACAGAAGCAAAGACAAAGAAAATGGTGAAAACACAACTTTTCCTGTGGCTGCATTGCATTCTGGTATATGTAGTTACTAGTGTGGAACTCAATCCCTACCACAGATGTCTTCGCAGAAATAACAAGACTATAGAGCAGCTGTTTGTCTTTGGTTTCAAACACAAAACCTGATGAATGACTTATGTTTCATGTTGTACATCACTAAAACAAAATCTATGAAACACCACTGTGGTTCTGCTAGAAATCAGGCAAAGAAAAAAATCTGTCACAAGACACAACATTTAAGAGTTTCAGGAAAGATTTTTCCTTAAAATCTCCTCAGAAGTTACAGTAAAATATATCTGGAGTGTGTGCGGTTCTGTGAAAAAACATGCATTGTGATGATTAGAAAATATACAACATTGTTTCCCATGAGAAAAAAAAATTTGGCTGATGTCGGGGCTAAGCGGCGTGTTTGGCTGCAAAAATACAAACAACAATAAGGTTTGCTGTTCGGAGTGACCCCCTTCCCCCAAACTGATTTACAAAAAAGGAAACCCAAACATAACCACTGAATGCAAAATGACATTTAACATGTAAAATCTCACAATGAGGCAAAAATAAAAATCTCATTTCTCCTCCCCCGTCATCGACAATAATATATGTACACACACGTATCGAACTCAATAAATAAAGTCTCAGATTTCTTAAAGTATATTCTAGTCAGAATGTGATCAAGCTTCCCTCTTGTGGTTTCTGTTCCCACCAAGTCTGGTGACGGCCATTTTGGTCACATACACACACACACAAACACACACACGCACCCCTCGCTTACAAAGCAGGAAAGGGCTTGCCAATTCAAAGTGCTCTCTGCACGACCTGCCTTTTCAGATCCGTCGTGGGTGAAACTAAAAATCGAGGCACCGGGGAAGAAAACCTTTCACAGAGAGGAGTCTGTTTGAGAGCATGAGGGGGGCCACAGTTAACGTACCCTACACATTTAATTCAACACATTCATAATCATCATATTGATTGTCTTAATCATGATACAGACTGGCTGTCTATTGCTGCTAAATCTCTTAACAACTCTGGGATAAAGGCTCTCGGCTACTTACTGCTTCTATCCAGGAAACAAGAAGGAAAAAAAAATTTATAAAAGAAATCCACCTCAAAGCCTCCCCCCTCGAAACACGAGTCCGTCTCACACAGAATTCATCAATAAATATCTCACTATAAATTTCTACGGAACATATATTACTTTGTTTGAACTCCGCTGACATGCTCGGGTCGTCTTTGTCTTCTAGCTGTATGGATGGTGAGGAGGGGACGCGGGTTGCTACACATGCGGCGGTGGGTTTGGTTTGCGGCTTTCGGGTTGGACCACACTTGCATGTATGTTGTATGTACGTCGGCAAAGGGGAGGAGGAAGAGGAGGAGGAAGAGGGCGGAGTCTCCCTGAGTCTCTGATTAGGGACAGTGATTGGAAGCAACACACGCATACACATTTAAAAACACACACACAGAGGAGGAGGTTCGCAAATCAGCGAGGCCTCTGAAAAACGTTGATGGGCATGAGAGGGAGGAGCATCCTGGTCCAGACAAGCAGGTCCTTCAGATCTTTGTCGTCAGTTAATACATTAAGGAGCACGTGCAAACACATACAAACACACACACACACACGTACAGACACTCTGTTCTGTCGATGAACTACCATAGGTGAGTGTTGGGTTTGTGGTGAGTCTGTTTACTATGGAAACGTGTGCATGTGTGTGTGTGTGTGTGTGTGTTTAATTGCTGCATATTTACAAAATATGCACGCACATGGCTTGTCTCTTTATGTCAGTGTGTCTGCATTCCCACTCATACACACAAACACACACACACTCCTCCCCTCCTCAGCATACATTCGAGCGTAGTAGTGCATGCGTGCAAAGAGTATGGAGGGGGTCGGGCCAGGGGGGCGGGGCGTCAAATGCTGTTCTCCAGCTGGCTGTGGTGGTTGGCTGTGTGCGGTGAGTTCTGCTCGTTGAGGAGGAGGAGCGTTGTCTCGTCCGGTCCGTTCTCCGTCGGAGTGGAGTCCGCTCCCAGGTCTGTGATGGTGGTGTTGGCAGTGGCGGGGGGAGTGGTCTGATCCAGGCGGATCGTGTTGTGGCCGCTCTCTGGGGACTGCGGCGTGCTGTCCAGACGGGACGCCATCAGGCCGTTCTGGTACTGGGCACGTGTGATCTGAAGGAAAGAGGAGGGAGATCAAAGCTGAAGGTTGGTGTTGAAGGTAAAGCTTAGAGGAAGAGGAACATTTGCTCTCATGCTGAATGAATTAGTTAAGATCCGGTCTTTGAAACCATCAGCTATCAGTCTGACGATGATAAGCCTCTGAAAGTAACGGCCAATATTACAGTGTAGTCAGCAGATACGCAGGCTAAGATATCCTTTTCCTTGCACCGCTCATTTCGGCTAATGTTGATATCTGCATAGAGTGTGCCAGTAAACCCGGAACTCCGTTATCGCTTTTAGTACTTCCGGTTCTCTCTTCTAAAAGTCAATATGTTTTTTGAATGGGATTTTGGTAAAATGCCTCAAATAAGGTCTGTGGTTAACAAAAGCTTAAGCGAGTTTCAGGTTTTGTTCTACGACATAAAACACGTCAGTAAATACCCTATTTGTGAATTCTGAAGCTTTTACGTGTCATAAAAAAGGCAGTTGCTAACAAGTTGCTCAATACGACTACAAACCCTGTCGGGGACATTAAACATCATCACCCCCGAACAGGCGAGAGTGCTGGCAGTCCGCCATTACAGCTTCTTATTTAGCTTAAACAGTCCGATTTCCCCATTAAACAATGTTTTTAAAATAAAGCGGCCGAAATCAGTTGAAAGCTTAGTGGCGGTGACGTCAAGAGTCATGCGACCGTGGAGTAGTCATGTAGTCCGTTAAAGCCTAACGTTAGCTTTTTACTTCTGGCGATCGCATTTAAGCTTCAAATGCGGCATGAAAGGTGTTCATATGTGAAGATTATCTCACCGAACAAAACCTGTAAGTATCATAAACTTGTGTTAGCCACAGAGCTTATTTTCTGACATAATCCAAAACGCAATGCAAAAATCACATTCACTTTCTCTTGCGGGAACCAGCGCGATGCTAAACTTCCGGGTTTTGACGTCAGCCCTGGCACACTCTATTTGAATGCAACCAGACCGATGTCATATATCTTGCTGTGTTGTGTACTTACATTATCCCAAACATTTCCAACTATTTTCAAACCCCGAAAAATCTCTAATTTTAATCAGGGACTCGTCCGTGTCATTCGGTCTCCGTCATCTGACAGCAGTGTCATATCCTCTTTGCGTTGTGTGCCAGAAGCTGTCATAAATTGACTCTTTATCCAGTTTTAAGCCACATTTTATGGTCATTTTTAACTATATATTTTAACCGAATGAAGGATTTTAGTCAGCAGACGTCTGAATCTTAAGTTATCAGAGAAACAAGCTAAGCTAACGTTAGCAGCAGCTCCGCTCCAGCCCCTGCTGTGCCAGACAGCATCAGATAAACTCTAATTTGTTTCATGAACTGCTTTACTCAGTGTTTTTAACAGTTTTAATCACCTAGTCCATTTGTTTTGGAGATGAGGAGACCTCTGCGGATAATTCAGCTTCCACTAAAAACATCCTGAACGTCTGGATTGTAAGTTATCAGAGAAACAAGCTAAGCTAACGTTAGCAGCAGCTCCGCTCCAGCCCCTGCGTGAAACTGCTTTATTCAGTGTTTTTAACAGTTTTAATCACCTAGTCCATTTGTTTTGGAGATGAGGAGACCTCTGCAGATAATTCAGCCCCCACTAAAAACCTCCTGAACATCTGGATTGTAAGTTATCAGAGAACAAGCTAAGCTAACTTTAGCAGCAGCTCCACTCCAGCCCCTGCTGTGCCAAACAGCATCAGATAAAGTCTAATTTGTTTTATGAACTGCTTTACTCAGTGTTTTTAACAGTTTTAATCACCTTGTCGATTTGTTTTGGAGATGAGGAGACCTCTGCAGATAATTCAGCCCCCACTAAAAACCTCCTGAACATCTGGATTGTAAGTTATCAGAGAACAAGCTAAGCTAACTTTAGCAGCAGCTCCGCTCCAGCCCCTGCTGTGCCAAACAGCATCAAAGAAACTCTAATTTGTTTCATGAACTGCTTTATTCAGTGTTTTTAAAAGTTTTAATCACCTATTTGTTTTGGAGAGGAAGAGACTTCTGTGGATAATTCAGGTCCTGGTAAGAACGTCCTGAACGTCTGGATTCTAAGTTATCAGAGAAACAAGCTAAGCTAACGTTAGCAGCAGCTCGGCTCCAGCCCCTGCATGAAACTGCTTTATTCAGTGTTTTAACAGTTTTAATCACCTAGTCCATTTGTTTTGGAGAGGAATAGACCTCTGCGGATAACTCAGATCCCACTTAAAACCACCTGAACGTCTGTATCTTTAGTTATCAGTGAAAAAAGGTGAGCACAGATTAAAAGGACCTGGGCTAGCAGCCTCTTCCCAACGAGTTGAAAAGTGTAGGAGAAACATTGATTTTTACCATGAAACTGCTTTATTCAGTGTTTTTACAAGTTTAATCACCTGGTTTGTTTGTTTTGGAGAGGAAGAGACCTCTGTGGATAATTTTGCTCCTGCTAAAAACCTCCCGAATGATGAACACTGAAGGCAACCTAACCTGGAGAAACTGGCTGCAATTGTGTTTTGCCTTTTCAGCTCTCCATACACACTGTTTACTTGCTGCTCAAACATGACTGGTCAACACTAGTTGGACGACAAACAGAAACTAGAACACTTACGATATCAAAATCTTGTCCTATCGCTCACAGACTCTGCATACATACACATGCAAATATCGTTTTATAGAGATTAGACTACACTGATATCACTCTTACGTCTGTACAGTAAATAAGAAGCTATATACTGAACAGACAGATGTGTTATATTCATCTTCTTTCCTAACTCACTGCAAATAAACGAAGAGAGGAAATTCTCTGAATGAAAACAATCTATCCCTGGAAAAAATACACTACACTGTAACACACTTCAAACCAGTAAGCACTTATTTATTTATTTTTGCAGGTTAATGGACGTCTGTGCATCTAGGTTTTTAATTTGTCTTTGCTAAGTTCTATTGCTTCATTCAACAGCATTTAAATGACTGTATGTTTATGTAAAGCAGGTCCTGACTTCATGCTGAAATTAAATGCTATTGAGCAAGCAGAGAAAACCCATTTCTCTCTCTTGTGTGCAGTGTTCACAATCCCAGCTCACATGTCTCTGCCTGCCTCGAATTTGCTGCTGGTAAACACGGATTTTATCATGACAGGTGCTGGAGAAAAGAATGCTATGACAAATAAGGCAGAGTGTTGAGAGAGCAGGAAAATTTCCCGGGACTTGATCCAGAGTATCACTTTACTCTGAATCATATCCATTTTGATCAGATACTAGAGCACAAATGATTAACCTTAAGCTGGCTCACATGACAGCACAAGGATTCTTTGGCAACAGGCTATTATTTTGTGGAACACACTGGGTGAAGAAAACAAAGTAAAGATATCAGACAGTTTACAAAGAGGTACAAAGACGGTTTCTTCACAAGGTACAGAAAAGATTAGAGGGAATGTAAAACACACTCAGGGTGATGATGTTGTCGGAAATCTCAGTTTTCTAATTTGTTTTATACACAAAGTAATATTGGTTATAAGGTATTAAGAAGTGCAGTGGTGTAAAGTTAAGTTGTTATTGTTTGTCTCTGTTTTGTAGGGGTTTTTTCTCTACAAATTTATTCTTTTTAAATATTAAAATAAATAAATCAAAATCATTAATGTTTAAAACTGTAAATTAAATGTTTGTTGTTTTTTTTTTAAATTAGGCCATTTTATTTTTGCTAATAGAGTGTTGGATTCATGTTGATGTGTATTTTCAGACATATTTTAAACATCTTATATCTTAAATGAAAGTTATGGCGGCCCCCCTGCAGTATCTCTGAGGACCCCTTGGAGGTCACGGACCTGCTGTTGGAGACCCAAATTTTGGGTAGTTGTTATGCTGATGTTTGTTTAAGTGTTCATTTTTCAGATCATTTTGGTTATAACCATGGTTGTTCATGCTATAAAAAGGGGGTTTGATGTCATGATTGACAGCTGTGTGTGCCAATCAGAGAGCTTGTGATCACTGGCGCTGCTCACGATTGGTTGGACGGCGAAACTTGATATCACGGAGATTGCTACTGTGTAGACTCTGGCTCCAAATGACGTCACCAGCATAAGATGGTAGCTAGCTGCCATATCTAGGATGTTTTGGCTTATGTTTGTACGGCTGGAGGAAGTGGAGACACGTAGTCCATCTTTATATGCAGTCAGTCGCCCCTTTTACACTGCCTGATTTTTGGTGAATGTTGGGCCGCTTTGCCGGCAAGCTGCGAGCGTTTAGACGCACAGAGCCGGATTGGCGAGTGGATCCGAGGTGCCCAATTTTTTCTCATAGGGTAGACATATTGGCGGAACCCTTTTAGTTTAAACAGACCGAGGCGGCGTTCCGCAACGGGAGGGGCTGTTGAAGACTTGTGGGAGGAGCTGTTGATGACCCCGCACGTGCGAGCCACTGGCGGTGGATAAACAGGAAACAGCTGATAGCAGGATTTAACGAGCAGCTAGTAGCAAGAGGGAAACACAAACAAACGCAAAGCAAAAAAAAAAAAAAAAAAAAAAGGTGCATTCCGTATAAACAAAAGTAGGTAGGCGGCATTTTGCTGCACTCCCCGATTTTGGTTTTATACTGCCAATGCTGAAAGAAGACTGATTTGGTAACCATAAATAAATAAACAAGGCTGTGGTATAAATACTCATACAATACCATACGATGCTATGGTATGACTGGTTTCCACTCACTTGCTCCCACTCCCACTAGACTGAATTTATAACTAACCTTGACAAACTGCAAGTCGCTGAGAGCTCGGACGTAGAAGTCGGGCGTGTACTGCTGCGAGGGGATGCTGTTGTTGAGCTGGCTGTTGCTGCCACTGACGGAGAGCGACTCCGACCGGTCAGCTCCGCTCAGAGAGGCAGTACGGTTCAACCCGCTGAGATGGGACGGCGAACGAAACTCTGCACACACACACACAAAGGAAAATGGTTATTAACAGCGTTTAAAACAGAGCGAACAGACAGAATCTATCAGCCCATCCTGCATCCATCCATACATACATACATACATACATACATACATACATCAAACAGTCAATTGTTTGTCACTGCAGAAAGCAGCTTTCTACAACTGCTTCAAAGCCATTGCTGAAATAAGGACTCTATGATGCAGATCAATGGAGGACCTCGACAGCACAAGATGCAGTGTTCAAATGCAGGTTAACGTCAATGATATGAATGAGTAATTAGTGTGACACAGTGTAATGAATGCACAAAATAGCATCTAAACAAATTAGATCCGTGAGAGCAACAGAGACAGAAGGGGCTAAAAAAAAAAACAGAGGTTAATGTTAAGTTATTCACACACACACACTCATCTCTACTACATACCCTTTGTTTCACTATCACAGCTGCAAACTGGTGTCTGTCTCACACCCAAGGGCAGTGACACACAAAACTTTCCAACAGCATAACAAGATGTGACTCAAAGATGCCTCATATCAACCAAATTTGTCATCTACTCACATCCAGCACATTGAAGGTGTATTCTTTGAAAGCTGAGTGGTGCAGGATGCAAACGAACAAACAGCTTAAAGGTACAGTGTGTAGGATTTAGGGGGACATATTGGCAGAAACAGAATATAAAATAATAAGTATGTTTTCTTTAGTGTTCTTTAAAAATATAAATGGTTTGTTTTCGTTATCTTAGAATGAGCTGTTTATATCAACATAGGAAGCAGGTCCTCATCTATGAGGGCAGCTTAATACATCGCCATGTTGCACCGCCATGTTTCTACAGTAGCCCAGAATGGACAAACCAAACACTGGCTCTCGATAGATTTTTCTATGTGAAACTGCTTTTTTCAGGATTTTAATCAGCTTGAATCACAAGGTCTGTTGATTTTAAAGTGGGAGAGACCTCTGCAGATAATTCGGCTCCCAGTTAAAGTCTCCTGAACGTCTGGACCATAAAAAAGGTGAGCATTACATTAGCAGGTGCTCATAGCAGACAGGCCGCACACTGCTTTCTAACATGACACTGCTTCATTCAGTGTTTCACCCGTTTAAATCACAGTGTCCATTTGTTTTGGAGAGGAAGAAACCTCGACAGATAATTTGGTTCCTGGTAAAATCCTCCTGAACAATGAACACCAATGAAACCCTCAGCAGGAGAAGTTTCAGCTGGTTGCAATCTGCAATCCTCACTGACAGATGCCACTAAACCCCTAAATCTGACACACTGAACCTTTAATAACAGAGGTGGAAATTAAATGGATTAAATACTGTAATCACTCAAACGCAATTCATTTTATTCAGGTTAGGACGAGATTGGTAACATGTAAAAGGAGGAGTTCAGCTCTGCTATAGCACTATGCAGAGGTTTCCTGTACAATAAAAGCATATGTAAGAAGTACATAAACATTTAATAAATGGTTTATAACACACTATAATGGACCTGTAAGCAGATATAAGTGTTTATTAATGTATTTTTGAACAACTACAACTCTTCCTGAGGGCTGGTATAGAAACCGATAATAGAAAAAGTCCTATTAGTTGAAGAATACATTCATAAACACCTGAAAATGTCCTTACACATACTGACAGCTGCACTACAGTGTCTTATCGATTATTTTTGAATGTTCAAACAGTGTTTATAAATTCTAAATATGGGGTTAAAGGGAAGTGTTATTATCATAAATACTAACATCCCTAAAAAGTAAACTTATTTAAACCGCGTTCGGGCAGGGCAGCTTAATTTATTTTGTCCATGACCCACAGTTGCAGGTGATCAAAGAGGGGAGTTAAAACCAGTTCACCAATATGACGTTCTATGAAATGTTACAAGAAATAAAAACATACAATAAATGTAATTATGGCTTTCTGGTCATATCTAATCAAAAACCCAGCTGTTTAAATCAGTGGTACTCAAACTTGCTCTCAGTAACGCACCCCCTCTGAAACACTATTTCTAGCAGACTACTCTCTGACCAGCACAAACTATTTTTGATAGAAACACATAGATAACAAGTGTAAACATGAACTCGATTACATTTACATTTTTAGTGAACATTTTACAGTGTAATTATTTTAGGAATTATGCAGTACTCTAAAGTACCCTTTGAGGTATCCGTTCCCCCATTTGAAAAACACTGGTTTAAATGATCCAAGAACAAGGCACTGCATTTTCTTTTATCATTATTGATTATTCTGCCAGTTATTTTCTTGATTTATTAACTAATTATCTGGTCTATAAAATGTCCAATACCCCCCAAAATTCAACTTTCTGTGATATAAAATATAAAAACTGTAAAATACTTCCATTTAAGAAGCCAGTAACGGCAGATCTTTGCAATTGTTACCTGAAAAGTGTTTCAATAGATTAATTGGCTGATTGTTTCAGTGTGTACATATATGTTGTCTCTACAGGGCCGGGTGTTAAAGGGTCAAATGTGAACAATTTTTCCATTTTGGGTGGTTTAAAGCTACAGTTGATAACTTTTACAAAAAATAACTTTGTCATATTGGCCGAAACCGTCACTATATTCACAAAGAAGTATCGTCTTGAACTACTTCTAAACCAATCAGTCGAGAGTCTCTAACGCAGCCGTCAATTGTGTCAATCACTGCTCGTAAAGTGAGGTCACACTGTCAAACTAGGCAGCACTGATCACATATGAATCAAGATTTTTTTTTTTTACTGCTTTACCAATGTCTCACCTCAAATGTTTTCATAAACATGTTTTCGTGTACTGTTCAGCTGTAAAATGAGAGAGTCTGTCTCCTGACTCACAGCAACCAGGCCGAATCTCCTATGTGGGGCAGTCAGTGTTGCCAACTTAGCGACCTTGTCGCTATATTTAGCGACTTTTCAGACCCCTCTAGCGACTCTTTTTCAAAAAAGCGACTAGCGACAAATCTAGCGACTTTTTCTGATGTTATTGAAGACTTCTGCAGACTCTGTTGTGAGAGCACGTATCATTCTTATTTTTCTCAACGAGCAGCGGATGCTTCCGTGGGCTCCTCTCTCGCCCCAAAGCACTCACAGACGGCCCAGTCCTCCCTCCTAGCAGCAGTCAGAGCAGGAGACGTTAACCCCTCCACGTCCAGACTGCAAGTGAATCGCGCATGCGCGGAACCGCCGCTGGCTGATCCCGACCTGGTTTACAGTCAGGGTGGGTTGTAAATGTAAAATTTTCTTTGTCTAATATAAATCACTGAAACAAGGTTCATTTGTAGTTCTAAACACATTCAGGGTGTTTTTTTACTCAGTTTTTGTCTCTCCCATGACGTTATTTCTCTCTCCTACAGCAGCCATTACAATTACATGCATATGGACAATTATGCAAATTAGGCGATGACGTCATTTAGCGACTTTTAGGACAGCCAATAGCTACTTTTCTTACTGAGGAGTGGGGGCAGTTTGTACTTCATGGCGATACCATATCAGCTGGTTAAACATGGCAACAATCTAGTCTCCTCCACACATACTCCTTTGCGACTGGTTGAGGCTGTGACCTCGCCAGTCAAAGTTCACCAAAGTTGAACTCCATGCGATGCGAAGATGCAAATTATTCACAACTTCACTTGCACTGAATGGAAGTGAACAGGAGGCTAATAGTGGTGTATGTGTGGATGTACCCTAGTGCCATGTGAGGCACTAAGATGAGAAGGAGGGGAATGATTTTTTTCTCGTCTCATATAGGGATGGGCGATATGGCCCTCAAATAATATCACAATATTTCAGGGTATTTTTTTGATATTCTTGATGATATGACAAATTAGTAAAAGAAAAATAAAAAAAAGGTGTATGGAGAAGTCCGGGGCTGTTCATAAAACATTCGGGATGCCACAGTTTATTCCACACTGCTGAAGCTGCTCCTCTTTTTGGAACCACCGCAGAGTTGGTAGTAACTTCGCTTTCAGCCATGCTTGTTGTTGCCGTGGGTAACAGTATGATCTCAATGTCAACAAGTCAAAATATTGTGAGCATCACAATATGAATTTTTCATATGATATTAAAAATGATACTGGTATTATGGTGAACAAGATGACATGACACACCCCTAGTCTCTTATAACTCTGTGTATGTAGCGAGGCAAATATGACAAATACTTATTTTCATAATTGTTACCAACTGCAGTTTTAAAGGAGGACAACATCCCAGAGAAAACACTCAATTCAGTGAAATCACAATAAATGACAAGTCTTTTACTGCAGAACTCTGAGTCATCATTATTAACAGTTTCCTGACAATAGTAAAAAATATTAACAGAAAATACCTCCTTTTTATCACCTCTGCTCGGTCAGACTGAAACTACAATGACTAACAGCCATGTGTTCTACCCAACTGACTGCTGAGCATGCTCGTTTTCATCAAAACAAAACGTACTCTCCAACTTGTTACACACATACACACACACTTCACACTCATGCTTTTTACCAGCTGCTGTGTATTATTACCAGTAGGTGTGAGTCTTCCAGCAGGGGGCCTCAGTGAGTCATAGGAAACTGTTTTACCTGGACACGTCAACTGCGTTAGCTTTCAGGAAATTAAGCTAGCTAGCTAGTTAATCCTGGATATCTACAGCTAATGTTCTAGTTAGTGGTTAGATTTCACTCAGTCATGAGGCAGTATTTATTATGTTGATATATTTAAGATATTATTTGTTAAGATCCAGTAGGCAACTTCTCTTTATTTACATCTGCAACTTAAGGCAGTAATTATAACACATATTGAGGGGAACACATCCCTCCCAAATATTCACATGTGGTCAAAATGTCCCCCTTAATATACTGATTAAAAAAATATAATTACATTGTTGTTTTTTTTTGGGCGTGCTATGACAGGCAACCATTGTCCTAAACAATTATGAGCAAATTTAATCGTAATAATTAACTACCAGTTCTATTGTTTTCAGTTTGTCCAAAGCCCTTTTACACTGCCTCTTCAAGGCGGGAATATCACGCAGTTATTCCACCTCGCCGTTCTGTGTTAAAGGTACAATCGCAGAACCAGGGGACAGAGTTGTCTCGTCTTTAAGCCAGCATATGAGGTAGTAACAGCGCCGAAATGAAGTCAATATAAATAGAACGACCGGCAAGATGGGATCGTGTGGAGCGCTAGTGTGATGTTTTGACATGTCACACGTATGACCCAACACGGGAGACTTAAAAAGCAGTGGATAGCAGTTAGCAGCTAACTCAAAGAAGAAGAATTTTGGCAAAAATGTCTGCAAATTGAGAAAACAATGAGGTACAAGAGCTCCTTACCCTCTGAGCTGAGGACGAGATTAACTGCTGAATAACAGGGATGGTAAATGACTGTTACTGCCATGCTAAGCTATTATTATTGTTTATAAAGCGCTGCCAACACCTTTTGTTATATGTCACACTAGAGGCCTACCCTGTTGTGTTACATGTCATGATTGTCACGCCTCTTTTACTTCCCTGGTTCTGTACAAAAATGCAATGGGGGTATAAAGACGGGACTTCGTAGTGGCCCTACAGCACGATCTCTGGGCAAAAAGGGCTCAAGTGGCGTTGCTGCACCCCAGCAGAATTCGTTACTCAACTGCTGTGAGCACACTAAATTATAACACTATACCTTCTCTCTATTTCATTACTTTCAAATGCATTAAAATGTGGAAAAGTAGAATGTAATATGAGTGCTGAAGAGTCAATTATTTATGTAACAGTAGCTTTTATTTATTGCGTTAGGCATAGTATACTGTAAATATATACTTGTTCATGATGAATAATATCATAGGATGATGAAGACATGACTACACGGGTATATAATAACTAATAAAAAATTAGTTTTCAATTTATTTATTTTTTTTCCTGAGGGGGTGCTGAGGCCTCTCAGCAGATCTGGTCCACCCCCAACATTGACTTCATGACGACAGCCTTCCTACAACTTCACAACTATTCCTAAGCAAAGGACTCAATACTTATTTAGCTTCTGCAGCAACAACAGGTTTCTGAGGCCTTTTTTTTAGCACTCTTGAGACCGACTAACAGAGTCCTGTTTTTGTTGGGGAGACTTAAATAAGATTAACGAGCCTGTCAGAATAACATCTAAATATTTGTGCTATTAAATGTGTATTTTGCCGTTTACCTCACAAAGTGAAGAGCTGTTTATTTTGTGAATAAAGCGTGACGTTAACGGTTTCTTGAATTTCCATTTTCTCAGCTTCTGTCACATTACTCATCACGAACTGACGCAGCCAAAAGTTTTATATTCACAAATATTTAGATACACGTCCATGTGAACGTGATAAGAACAGATTCCAGTTTTTATTTTGAAACGTGGACAGACGATTAAGATCATGTGCTCTCAGGACTGAGCTCAGAGAGGAATATACCAAAACCTTATGCGCATCTTTAAAAAACATGTTTATTTGATGGTTTATAACTTCTCTGTCTAGTATTAAAACCTATGGAGGAGTTACCTACTGGATCTTCAGTACTCAAGAAATCAGTGAATGTTTTACAGCAACCAAACTTCTACTTGTGAACTGGTGATCGCAGAGTGAGTTAGTGTTTTAAAAAAATCAAGGTGGACAAGTGATGGACCCAATTCCAAATAACACTCCTACCCTAATGCCACATCTTATAATGAAAAGACAAACATTTTCATCCATAATTATAAGACTGAGTAGGAACTGGGATTACATTTGGAACTGGGCATTTGTGATCAAGTTAAGAGAAAGATATGGCTTTTTAAAAACTATTTGTTGTGCTCTAAAGGACTACAATCTACGTCAGCAATCAATTCACTTTGAGTCTTGAAAACTAGAGTTTATAGTACACCATGAGAGCGACGGATAGGACAACATTAACCAAAAATAATAAATAACCCAGGCTGCATCTCAATAGCTCGACGATCTCTCCTTCATACCACCCAAATACTGATGTAAAACAAAGGGTAGGAAACCATCTGAAGCTATTAGGATGAACCCGAAGTCGATGCTGCAAAGAGCGGACAGCTTAACGCCCTCGAGGGGCTTCAAGGACCATCTGGGTGTCTCATGATGTTGTCCTATCCCTCTCCGTTTTGTCTTAGAGGTACCATATGATCATTTCCTGTCCCCAAGTGCCCCGCCAGTTTCACAACTGTGCTGACATTTTGTTAGATAAGCTCTTTGGTCAACTTTCTCCAGCCAGGCTCAGACTACAGAGTTTAAAAATCATAACCAGTTTTGAAATCAGGTAGCATCGTGCACATAAAGAGAAACTCCCCAAATGTCCTTCTCTTTAAAATCAAACATGACCATACAACAAGATTTAAAGAGTAAACACATTACGGGATATTATTGAGGATACTGTGCCAGAGGGAGCATGAACGCACCACCTCATGTGATCTCATGGAGAAGCAGATGTAGTCTTTGAGCAGTTCAGGAGGTTTATGCCTGGATCTATAAACCTCTCACATTACCAGATAATCTAGGACGAACATTTGTACCGACCAAGATCCCGTGCCGCATTTCTCCTCTGACTGATAGGAAGAGTTGGTCGGGGAAAAAGTGGCCCAAAATGCCTGAGTACTCTGAGCCCGGTTTTACTTTGCGACAACACGAGTGGTGCCCGTTTCACCTCTGCGTCCCCTCTATGCTTCTGTTTTCCCATGCAAAGCTAAGAAGAGCTGCAACGATTAGTTGATTTGTTGAAAAGTTGATTGACGGAAATTTTTTTGGCAACTATTTTGATGATCTAAAATCATTTTTGTTAACTTTTCAAGCAAGAAAGCCAAATATTTGCTGGTTTCGTGCTTCTTAAATGTAAGAATTTGATGCTTTTCTTTGTCATACATGATAATAAACTAAAGAGTTTGGGATTTTTGGACTGTTAGTCGGACAAAACACACCTTTTAAGATGTCACCTTGGACTCTGGGAGTGTTTTTCACCATTCTCTGAGATTTTACCGACAAAACCATTCATTGAGAAAATAATGGGCAGAATAATAAAAATAATCGTTAGCTGCAGCTCTAATGCTTTGACTGTAGTGTTGGCATGTAGCTGCACAGCTCTCCTGTTTCCTGCATCTTCAAATACAGACTTAATTTGCCATTTCAGAACAACAAAGTAAAATCTTCTTTCTTGAACCCCTGAGTCTCATCAACCAGTCTCCAGAGAATCATATCATGTCTTCATCTCTTTCTCCTGTCATTAAATTACTCTAATGTGCTTTCTTACAACAATAAAAATCAACTGTTTCCCTAATGTGCCCTCCTTCCTCGTCCATATCTTTAATATGATTTTACAGACATTACCACAGCAGACAAGACAAGACAGACCAGTTGCAGCTTGCAATTTTCAAGGATCTGAAGTCTAATATGCTGTTGTAAACTGTTGTGCACATACAGCACGTAAATGTAATAAGTAAAATGATTGCTGGTGAGTGCACCCTTTGGTTAATATGACCAAAGGGTGAGATATTTGAGATATTTTGTACAAGGGCTGCGGATTACTTTCATTTTGTGCTAAATGTGCTCTCAAATAATTGTTTGGTCTATATATCATCAAAAAAATACTTAAAGCTGTCCACAATATGTTCCCAGAGCCTGAGGTGTCAACTTTAAATCTCTATTTTAGTCCCATCAACAGTCCAAAACCCCAAAAAATGTAGTTTACCATCAAAGCAGACAATGAGAACCTGCTAATATTCACATTTCAGAGGCTGAAAGCAGACGATTTAAGGTTTTTCTGTTTAAAACAATAGTTAAATGTTTGATCAGTTGATCAACGAATCATTGCAGCCCCTGTAAGTACTCAGTGCAACATTCTTTACAGTTGAAGGATAAACTTGTGAGCGCTCTCTTCTGGACAAAGTATGTAATGACAGCAGTAGAAGATGCGTTCAGATGTTTTACTCGTACACTTTTACTCGGTTACAAGTGTAAAAGTCCTGCATTAAAATTGTAATTTTCATTTCAGAACAAAACATTTTATATTCCTGACTTTATTTAGTGGTGCATTAAATGTGGTCATTTTAATGTTGCAGCTTGTAAAGGTGGAAATAATTTAATTTAATTTATATACTGCTGGGTAGCTTCACTTCTAATATATTAGTTGATTTATATTTTGTATGAATGATGTCATCTCTTTATTTATTCTTTTATTTATTACCATCAGTTTTGTGTATATATGTGTATATAAGAATTTCTATTTTCGAAATGTTCTTGTTATTATTTATATCTTGCTGTAAGACAAATATTATTGGTAATAATTTAATATATTAGAAAAGGTCTAGAAGAACTAATTATTGTACAGCTTTATACTGATGAGGAGATACATAATTGACTATTATTAATTTATGGAGAATGGCTGGGAATAAATAAGTTTGTACTTCCTCCAACTGATTTTTTGATGTTTAAATCAAATAATTATATGTTGTTTTCAGTTTTCTTGCTTTCTTTAGGAACCTGTTTTTTTTATGTCTGTCTACTACCGTATGATTATTTTGTTTATTTGCGACTTATATGTTCAAAATAAACTGCTACACTGACTGACTGTCAAGGTAATTAAAGCTGTAAAAATAAATATTTTGGTGTAAAAAGTACAATATTTGTCCACAGAAATGTGTAGGTTAGAAGTTAATGCACCTCAAAATTATACTGAAGTACAGTACTTGAGTAAATGTACTTAGTTACATGTCACCACTACGTGATGGCAACACTGGTGACATATTTTTGGCGTTTCTACTCTGCAGTTTAATTGTAGCTGCTGGCCAACACACACATGGAAATTTGAGTCTGAGCAGACAAACCTCTTCGTGACAAAGTAAATCTTAATTCACGCTGCACAGTAACATGAACGCTGACCTCCACCTACACGTGTTTGCTGAGAATAGACTGACCAACCACCTCCTCTCTGCCTCCCACTCACCTGCTCTGCAAAATTCATGCAAATTAAAGTTGACTCAGTAAAACTAGATGTAAAGTAGGTTTTTGTTTGGTTGAACAAAGAGCTTATTTCCCAAAAAGCAGTTGTTATTTTGTAACTCTTCTCTGTCTTTAAAGGGTAAATCTACATTGAATCACACGGGGGAGAAAACTGCTGCTGCACTGCTGTGTGTGGGGTAAAACTGCTGCACCATTGGCTGCAATCAGTGAAGTCATAGGTGGTAAAGTATCACTGATAGGGGAGCATAAAGAGGTGCAACCCATAATCCATTGTTTCAGCCCATACAGAGCAGCGAAGAGCAACTACCTGCCCTCAGTGATCATTAATCCACCCTCTATGACAACAAAAAATTTCATAGCTAAACCTGGCGAATCAAGCGCCAGGCCTGCCCGCCCACTCAAGCCCCACCCACCCTCCTCCCGAGCCCCACCCGTCCTTGGTGTTAAAGGACCCAGACATGCCGGAGTTTACCTGGCAACCGAGAGAACAGAGAAAACCTCTTAAAGGAAAGGTGACGAGGACGAGGTGCAGCCACTGAGAGGAGAGAAGGAAGGGAGGGAGGGAGGAGGTGATCAATGGGACAGAGGGGGGAGGGGGATGAAGGGGAAGGAGGGAGAGCGAGTGAGACAGTGGGAGACAGAGAGACAGATCTGCGTCCAGACCGGGCCAGGACATGCGACAAACATGAAGACAATCTCAAACAGGAACATCACACGTCAGATAAACACTGTTTGAAGGTGACAGTCGTTTTTGGTGAAATGGGTGAATGAGGCTGACGCTGGAAGCTCGGAAAATGAAAAAATTATGCACATCCCATATTCCTGTCTCTGCCCGAAGCACCTGGAAGAGAGAGCTGTTGAGTGTTGAGATGAAAAACAGGATAGGAAGAAAGGAAAGAGCAACTCTGGGATCAGCATCTGGTGGTCTGTGTGTCAAGTGAGGTGTTCATGGTGTCTTTAAATGCTTCTATTACAGACCTACAGGACATAAAAAGTGGTCAGACAAGACACACCCTTATCTCTTTCATGTTTTGATTAGTACACCAACTAGACTCAAAATTTTCTGCACTAGTGCCGATTAAATACCCAAGCTTCTGCAGCAGATCGTCTTTTTTATTTAACAAAAGACACCAAACTTTCTAAATGTTAAATGTCCTCATACAAACTAACATACAAGTGGCAAATGTCTGATTTTAACCAGTAAATATCCATATGAATATAGAGAAGTCAGACGAGCTGTTCGTACTTGGTGCTAAGGACACACTCTGGTATGAAACATTAAAGTATTTATTTTCAGCCCTTTTGGTCAGCGTCACAGAACACATCATGGAAGATGTCAAACACAGCAAAAGAAAAAATCCTGACCTGCTCATCTTTCCTTCAGGGCCTCACGAGGACAAACTACGCAGGATGAAACAAACTGTATAACGAGTAGGGGTGTAAATCACCAGTTTCATCACAATACGATATTTTCTGATATTCAAAAGTCTGCCACGATACGATTTTGATTTGATACGTCTATTACGGAGGACACTGCCACCCCTTTCTTTTTTACCTTTGGCCATAACAGATAAAAACAACACATAAATAATAAGTTAAGTTCATTTAAAACTGACTACAGTGCACCTCTGTGCACCGCGCTCACGTGTGTGCGCTTTCGCGAGACTGTGAGACATGGGCACCGCGCTCACGTGTACAGAGAGGCAGTCAGAGCTACAGGCTACAATGAGGCTAAAAACAGAGTTCAAATGACGTTATTCCAAACAACTTTTTATGTCGGGGCTTCAGGACACTTGGATCACTACGGAGGAGCAGTATGGAGATATTTTGTGGTTTCAATTATGTGTTTTTGGACGTTTGAATCTGGGGTGCTGTCAGCCTCCATTAGGTGGAGTTGTGCTGCTACCTCCTCTCCCCTTGGATCTCCGCAAGTGTTGTGAGGACTCTAAAACTTCACCTGAGCCTCCATTGGCATATGGGTGAGTAGATAATGGCTGAATTTTCATTTTTGGGTGCACTATCCCTTTAACTTTCTGGGCTTTCTGACAGAGAGACCTTTCTGGAAGAAATCTTTTCATTTATCCCAAACCATCATCTTTCTCCTATCTGTTTTAAAACTCCTCCAAACAGCCATAAAACACAGATCAACAACAAGATCATTTAACAAAAGTATAGCAGACTTTTTTCCCTCTTCTCATAGCTCAACAAATTCCATGTAACGTTATTATTTTTCTTCCTCACTGGTGATTTAAGCCACTGTATCTCCAGACAGAACAGCTCGCTTGAATTTCAGCCTGCATGCACATTTTTTCAGCCAAACACTGTTAAAACAGAGCAGCTAATGTTGCTAAAGCAAGAAGCTATAGCGGAATGAGACGCTCGTCCAGGCAGGTAACGTTACGTCGTATTTTATCTCGTAATAACACTGTTTACATAGGCCATGAGCTCTGTCTGTTGGTCCTTATTTTTTAACTTATCCTCGTTGTCTGTCTCTCGGCTGCTTGCCGTCTGCCTGCCACTGTTTGACAGTGACAGACTTTCAAAATAAAAAGCCTATCCTCAGAATGACGATATGGATCGATGTTTTCACTTTGCATTCATCATTAAATTGATATATCGATCCAGATCGATAGATCATTACACCCCTAATGACGAGCAGCAGACAGACATACGAAAGCAAAGGGAGGAGCAGATTTTGAAAAAGCAGAGACATGACAGACAGACAGACGGACAGACAGACAGACAGACGGACGGACAGACAGACGGACAGAGAAGCTGAATTTGAACAACAGAAACAAAACAGAGGAAAACTGGCAGATAGGAGAAAGATAAGAGTGACTTTCTGTATTTTAAAGGAGTGACAGTTTGTGTGTAAGAGAAAGAAAGTGCTCAAGAGGAGGAGGAGTTCAAAGGTCAATGTGAGCCTCCATCAGTAAACTCAAATCAAACCTTCCTAAATTAGACCAAAAAGCTCTGGTTTTTATTTCACACAGTCCAAAGAGCACTTTTCCCTCCTGGGACTTCACATCTGTTGACAGATGTTCACAAGCAGGTCATCAAGGTCAACCCAAAGAAGGAGGGCATGTTAGAGAAGTGTAACTGTGTGTGTGTGCACATTATATCTGCTATATTCAGAAATAAATCCTTGCATTTATTTTAAGCTACATGGACCGGGTGCTCCATGTTTACCACAAGTTTACGAGATGAAAACACAACACATGGTGTCATGGAAAACATCTTACACTGTCTCAAACTTCAGGCACTTAATTAAAGTCATAAGACCAAATGACACCCACGTGGTACGCCAGAGAAAAGTTTAGGCATTGTACATTTCTGTAGACGTGTAACATCAATGTTTCTAAAGTGACGCAGTATACAAGCTGACTTTGTCATCAGGAAGTGAAGAGGATGGTGGATGGTGTGACGCTTGGGTGAGACGCCTCATTGCTGGATCATAAAGGGCCCCTCCCACCCCGACCCCTCACTGTTCACCCTCCGGAGCATTAAAAGCAGAACCAACAGACCTACAAACAGTCCGTAAGATGAGATCAGTCAAACGTGGCATGCCGATTCTTGGAGCAGACACCACCTGACCATTGTAGCAGGGCCCATGCTCACAGTTCCTGACAATGAGGTGCCAATTGGGCGCATGATTGTCAGCACCTGGGGGTACAAGCAGCTCAAAACAAGAGTCAATAGCAAAAGTAGAAAAAAGGCTGTTTGGCATTGGCAGAGAAGATTTGGCAATTTTTTCAAGGGCGCAACCCACATACTGAACTCTGCTGCTCATCCCACAAATGCATGTGGGATCCTTACAAATGTGGCACCATTTAAAAAGGGAAACAATCATGCTTTCCAACGGTATAAGATTTACTGACGTGGGTGTTTTTAGCGGCCTGCCACAGAGACATCACTAAGTTTACAGCTGCAATTGTGCCACCAAATCTGTGAATTTTCAGCCAAAACATTATCTTTTCCTCACCATTTTTTGTGCCTCACCTTACCACGTTAACCACAGTGTTGCTGAAATATAAAGTTTTAACTTATCTGCTGCATAATAACATGAAAATGTAACATATCCGTGGTTTGCAGTAATGTACAATGCCAATATTTGTCTGGCTATGGGGTTGAAATGTGCTGCGGTTTAGGCCAGGACTCTCTAAAAGAAGAAAACCCTGATCACAAGAAATTATTCTGATAAAATTTAAGTCTAAAAAATAAACATCTAGGGTGCCTTTTTAGCATCTGACTCTGTCTCATTTACATTTCTTCCTCAGTTGAGCCAATAAAATAAAATGAATTTAAAACATTTAACTAGTAAGACACACACACACATAAAGTCCAGTGAGCACCTTCACACCAGTCACCAGATGGGGCTGTTTAAACTGGTGAGATCTGTAAATATTGCACTGCAGTTGGCCTCATCGGTATGTCCCCCCACTGTCCCTCTATGGGTGTTAATGATTTATCTGCAGCTGCTCCATCTGCATTATATATCGATGAGTGATGACCACAGTGGTTTCAGTGACTGTGACAAAATGTCCTGCAGAGAGATGATGTGTTGCAGCATATTTTTAGTTTTAACAGACCTTCAGCAGCACCTGCAAAAAACACCTAAGATGCTTTGTTGTGGAAAAGCAAAAAGGAAGCAGCCACATAAACATAAGCATGTGCTCTCATGCTGATGAATGACACTCTGTTGTAATGCACTGTGAATGGAGGTAAAGAAACATAAATTATCCATAGTTGTAGTTCGTATTTTTCATTATCATCAGTTATTTATTCCTTAGAATTCACAGGATTACTGATACTCACTGAAAAAAAAATATGGTTACGACACTACTAACGTTCAAGTCACTGTAATTCAACTAAATAAACATTATGTCAGCAGAACAGGCTGTTGTACTCTAAAATTTTGCCACTAGGTGGCAGCAGAGGCATTTAAACCTGAGACATTACACTGCAAAAACAAATTTAACCTTTGTGGATTAATTAAAAGTGCATTAATAATTAATAGGAGAGGAGAGGAGAGGAGAGGAGAGATGGAGGTTCTGGACTCACCCAGTGTGGGAGCACTGAGCGCCATGACACCGTAGAACGAGAAAGGTCCAGTCTCAAACTTCATGTTCTCATTGCCGGCCTCCACCTCCACTCGTCCCTGAAAAACAAACAGAAACAAACACTGGTGTTATATGACACATTACGACTCTTACAGTAGGAACAACATCCAGTTATTACAGGTGGGTTCAAGCTAAAACTTGAAAATGATGATGAAAATTTAATTAAAATTGACTTTAAAACGTATCTTTCTTGCCTTGCAAATAAAGCGTAAAAATGTCCTTGTTTCCTCTGAACTGTTACTCTATCAAGGACCGCAGTTCATGGAGCGACTGACATGACTGACAGCTGCGTTAGAGACTCTGATTGGCTGTTGCCAATTGTAGTCAATGCCATTTGAGGCAAAAGAAGGGAAGGGGGGACATGTGTTTTTTCAGACTGTCTCGTAGATAGATAAATAGATCCTTTACTGTCATTATGTGTTATACAACGAAACTTTTTTGGAGCATTTAGCAGCATTTAAACGTTACACATGCACCAACACACTCTCGCTCATCGCATCATTCTCACAGTCACATGCACACACATTCATTATTGTACTGTGTTCTTCTTTCAGGATAAAGTGACAGTTGTTGAAAGGTTTCTGGAGCTGAAAGTTTGCAGAAGTAGTCGAACTTCAAAGTGGAATAGATTGAAGGAGCAACAGAGACAGAGAGACACAGACAGAGAGAGAAATTCATTAAGTTTACGTTATTGTTACAAAGACGAAAAAGACATACTTCATTGGGTGCCTCACTCAGGGGTGCCTCAGCAGTGCCCAGGAGGTGAACTAGTACTGTACCTCTCCAGCTACCAGTCCACACTCCATGCCTGGTCTGTGAGGGGACCTGAGCTGGCGATCCAAGCCAATTCCCTATGGACTGAGCTACTGCTGCACCCTTACCACACTTATTACTAATACTTATGGCACTAGTACTACTCCAGTATGCATTTATGCATCAGCATGACATCACATATTCAGATTGTGGCTGGGAAAGGCTGCAGCTTTACTGCTATCAAGTCTAAAAAGGCTTCAAGGTCACTCAGTATTTCCACAAATTGCTTTTCGCTTTGCAGCAGGATTCTTATTAAAGCTATCTTTAGACAAGTGTAACATAATATGACACCAGCAGCCCAGAGAGAGAGAGAGGGAGATGGTGATAAATATTTAATATACTGAAAAATAACAATAATAAAGAAGGGATGGGGCACCCAGTGGCTTAGTGGGTAGAGCAGGTGTCCCTTATACAAAGGTGATGTCCTTGCCGCCACAGCATGCATGCCATCCCCCGTCTCACCCCCTCACACCTAGACTGTCCTATCTAATAAAGCTGAAACGCCAAAAATAAATCTAAATGTGGGAAAAAAACTTAAGGCGCTTTTAAACTTGAAACATGTGGAGGTTTGAATCTTACAAAACTGCAACAAACAATTGTCATTATTAGTCAATCTGCAGATTAACATGTCCGGAGTCAGTAAATAGTCGACAAAAGGTCAGAAAATGTGAAAAATGCCCGTAATAATTTCACAGAGTCCAAAGTGATGTCTTCAAATGTCTTAATTTGCCCGACCACCGGTTCAAAACCCCAAAATATTTGGTTTACTATCCTGATGACAAAGAAAAGCATTAAAATCCTGATATTTCAGGATCTGGAAACAACAAATTTAGCTTAAAAATTACAAAAAATATTATAAAAATAGTTACAGATTAAATTTCTGTCGATCTATTCGTTGAGTAATCGCAGCAGCTGTAAACAGACCCACAGAAAACACTGGACTAGAAGATTACTAACTCATAAAAACAATGATACTGCCTTGTAACCCTGACGTTCAGTTTTTGTGGAGTTACACAGTTTGGCCTCTAGAGGGAGCTACAATCATGGGTCAAAACAAGGTGGCGTACAGTATGCATCAGTGATTGTTCTCTGGAGAGGCTCTGCATCATTTGTGGGAGGAAACATGTTTACTTTGGCCTCGATCAGACAGAATTAAGCACTCAGAATTCACACATTTCAAAAGAGATGTGACTCCAGAGGGATGATGTGATGCAAATGAGGAGACGAAGGACCTGCTGCTACATGTTCTCTGTAAAGATAACCTAGCAGAGGGATGGAGATATTAGAGTCATAGAGGGAGATGGAGGGGGGGATGATGAGAGGACAGAAGGGGGTTAAGGAGGCCTCTGTGTTGGTACAGTGAGTTGGCCTGAATCGGCCCGCTGGAATGTGTGAACTGCAGCAACAACACAGCACAGTTAATCCACACTGTCATCCCTCCTTCCCTCCATCTATCCCTCCACACACACACACACACACACACACACACAGGGCTGATGAAAGCAGAACAGGTGGTAAAATAAAAGAGGAACAAAAGGGAAAGGGACAAACGAGAGTGCACGGAGCTCGATGTGTCAAACAGCGATGACTGAATTAGAAAAGCAAATTTAAGATCTTTAATTCTAGGCTAGAATTTCATTTTAGACATTTCAACATGAGTTATTCCTCTGCAGAAGCTTGATCGTGGAGCAAAAAGTCACGTCGTGCATGCTTAAACCTGTTAAACATGATGTTAAATTCAGGATTTTGACATTTCCAGACATATCAAATACGTCAGAACTGGCTGCAGGGATACAAACTAAAAATGATGCACAAAACATCTTGAATATTTCCCTTTGATGAAACAGTGCAGACGTAAAATCTATCACATGTTAGGTTAATATTTCACCCATACAGCATCATAAAAGTGTTGGAACAAGCAGAGGGAATACATGTGAAGAAATTTAAGGGATTTTGCAGTTAAGTTAAAAGGAGAAATTGAGAGTTTTTTTAAGTATACAAGCAAGTACTCGTTTTAATCATCTGTATGTAAAACCAGCGGACAACCATTACTAAGCTCTGTGTCCATTTCTCCTGGTGCAACAGAGAGATTTACAAACATAAACGATCTGATATAACCATCCCCTCGTGCTATTTTAGGGTGTGTGCCAATTTAGAAACCTGGCTTGGATATTGCAGTGGGGGGAGGAACAGAGGAGGGGGTGGTGGTGGTGGTGGTGTATCTGTCACTGAAGTTACAAAGTAGGCTGCTCCCATCACAGACGCTGTGCTGAATTAAGCTCACGACATCTCCCCGCGGCTCAACAGCAAACGCTTCACAGCCGCCGCCAACACTGATCACAACCCTAACTCACAACCCTAATCTACATGAACGATACTCTGACGCTGACGATGCATTTAAAGCACGAGGCTGACTGTTTTGCATCTCTTTTTTGCCGTATACCATCCCTCCAACATCCCGGCAAATAATGAACATCATCTAAAATGTCATTTTAGTGTATTTTTTTAACTAATCAATTGTTTGGTCTACAAAATGTCAACAAAACTCATGAAACATGTCAACACATACTCAGAGCCAAACGTAGCATCTCCATTTTGCAGTGCAGCTCCACAAATATTTAATTCATGGTGATGTGAAAGTGGAAAATGAAGCAAACCCTCACATTTTAGAAACTGGAACTAATAAATATTTGCAGTCTTTGCTTCAGCAACCTGTCAAAAAATGTGTAGTATATACTGTTGTGTCTAGTGGAACAAAATAAGAGCGAAAGTTGTCATGAAAGAGCTTTCCTTTGTGTTTCATTAACAAGCTTTGATTAAAAATAATAATTAAAAAAAATAAATAAAATGGTTTGATTCTGAAGCTGTTTTGTGCAGAGTGTCGACCCTTCTGTCTGTCAACATGTTTGGAGATATTTACTGCTTATCTTATCTATAAAGGTTAATTTAAGGCAAAGGTGAATGCCTTTGCCGAAACGCACTGATCCAAATTCATCCAGTTACACACATTCACACCCGCTCAGTGCAACTACAGGGTTCTACCTTTGGCTGATGAGTAATAAGAGGTCAAATGCCTTGTTCAAGGACAACTTGCTGTGGAAAGGAGCAGATATTCACTGAAAACCTCCTCTGGTCTATCTGCTTTTTTGCAAAGGTACAGACACAAACAAATAAAAAATAATCAACCACCAGGATGCGGTGGAAACTTATCTATCAGATAATTTGGCCCACTGATGTTTCTTTCTGAATCCTACATTTATCCAGCATCTACTCTGCAGTTGCCCCCTCAAGTATGCAAGGTTACAGCAGCGTGACTTTCAACCCCCCCGGCTCTGTCGCCAGCTTTCTTCCACTTAAAGTATATGAGCAGATTTGGAAAGATGCTAATCACCTCTCAACATATGGTCAGCTCTGCGTGTATATGAGTGTTGGCCAGGGTCAAATTCTTCAGCCTGCACCACGTGCACATACACAAAAAACTCGTACATGCCTCACGAGCATGCAGAGGGCTGACTCTGGGTGATTTGCAGTCATCCATGCTGCTGCGTGGCTTGTGTTTAATTTAAAAAGGGAGGCACGGGGGAGGGAGGAGAGAAAGAATAGAAACAGAGGGGAGGCGGAGGACAGGAGTGAGAGGTGTAAAGCCTGCCGGTGCTCCGGTCAGACCCGTTTTCCCAGATCTGCACTGACAGTACAGCCTGCCAACTCTTGGAACAATATACTGCACCAACATTGGGCTTTTATTCAAAAAAGAGGCCATGGATGGGTCATCATGGTCCACCACTTGCAGTATATTTCAGACAACCAGCCCTGCTCTCAGGCTTTTATCATTCTTATTTCTTATGTCTCAGCTGAGGAATAACTGTGGAGTTTGCAGGAGGATTTTTCTTCACAGCCTCCTCAGTCTCAGTCCGCAACATCTGCAATAAACCCTGCGTCAAAGCCTATGTGCAAAAGGTCACACTTCAGGACGGCAGACTTTCACACGTGATGATGTAAGACAATGAACAAAGGAGCTGACAGGTGGTTACAGACGACAATGTGCTGAGAAACACTTGCTGAACAGTTACAACACTGGTTTTATAATTTCTGTTTATGATAAATGGAAAAACACCCACAAACTTCCTCAGCAAAATCCAGTATGCGCTATTATAGTGATCATTTATCTGTATAGCACTTGTCAAATCTAGTAAATAAAGTCTAAAAGTTGTCTTAAATTAAGCTA